ATATATATAGTTGTTGTGTGTGTGTGTGTGTGTGTGTGTGTGTGTGTGTGTGTGTGTGTGTGTGTGTGTGTGTGTGTGTGTGTGTGTGTGTGTGTGTGTGTGGCATTTTTTGGTGCAAAACAACATGACTGTCTGTGCCAAACAACCAGTAAAAATCTTAAAAAGTAAAATTCAATAAAATTTAAAAATTAACCGAGTTAAAAGTAAACAATTTGCAAAAAATCTTAATAAAAGACTCAAATAGAATTAAAAAGGCCAATGGCTCATAAAAATTTTAAAATACAATCAAGTTGGACAGTGTCACCATCACCAATGACACTGTCCAATGTCAGGGCTAAGCCCTTAGAAAACGTGTCTAAAATGGTGCCATCACTCAGAGTCGTAAGGATGGCATGACAGCAAAATGTGGGCTATTGTGACTTGAGTGTCACAAATGCTACAGATTGGTGGATCAGTACCAAATAAAAGAAAACAATGAGTTAAAATACTATGAACAATGCATAGCCTAGCCAGGACAAATTCCTCCTTCTGATCCTTATGGAAACAAGATGGCCAAAGAGCAACAGAAGGTTTGATTTGGAAAAAGCTTGTTATGACATTGTTCATCCCAAGTCAACTGCCAACTGGTACAAAGCCATGGCTTGCATATGGGACAGGCACGACTGTAACTGCATCAGAACAGACAGAGTTGGCTGTAGTGTCAACAAGCTCATTCCCATGAATACCAACACAGCCAGGTATCCAGTAAAACTGCTGAGTAATGGAAGATGAAGAAAAATGGGCCAGTCATTGTTGAATATCGACGAGAAAAGGGTGAAAACTAACCTTAAGTGATTCTAGGACCAGTAGAGAGATAAGAAAGTCAGTGTAAATAGTCAATCGTTGTACTGCAGAGCTTCTACATGATCCAGGGCAAGAGAAATGGCATACATCTCAGCAGTGAACACAGAAACTGTAGAGAGGATCCTGTGAGCAACCACCAAGCCACAACAAACCATTGCAGAGCCCACAGAATCACCTGATTTTGAACCATCCGTATCAACGGGAATAAAAGGATGGTTCAAAAGATGTTCAGCAAAGAGAAAAAGGTACTTCCAATCAGGAGTATCCACCTTCTTCAGATGACTCAAGCAAAGGTCACATCTAGAAATGGTAATAAGCCATGGCAGAATGAGCTGTTCATTGGGGACAGCACCATCATCCAATGCCAGACCCAATTCAGCCAGTGGTACCTGGATATGAAGGCCAAAGGTAGGAATGCCAGACCGTCTATTCTGAAAGAGCACAGCCCACCAAGGAAAAAAGACAACCCAAGGTGGGATGCTGTGGAAGGATCAAAGCTTGGTAGCATAGTGCCTGCTGGCAAGCTGGAGACCACCATGGATGAGGATACCATGAGAAATGTGTTGAGGTTTTCAGAATAGAACAAACAGCTGCTTGAATAATGCAATCAGTTACTGCCTCCACGCACTCGTTAACTCTTTTAGCATGGGCTTGGCCTCTGGGACTGACCTGGTAACTATTTTGCGTTTGTTATACATTTCATGCTATAACTTTTAAATTAGGATGTGTATGTTAATGAAATTTGGCAGGTTATCGGTAAACGATGCTTTCATATGCAAAATATCAATTTTTCTTTATTAAGTCTTAAGGTGTGTTAACAATGTTTTTCTCATGCCTTTTTAATCTTTTCGCATGTTGTCTATCCAACATGCAAAGTAGTTTTAATTTTACATGTGAAATCTTTATAATGTCCAGATAATTAACAAATGTTATTTAAGAAAAAAAAACTTTATATTGTTACGACAGTGGGGGTCACGTGACGAGTATTCCAGAAGATTCGCTAGTGTGTTACGACAGCAGGGTCACGTGACGAATATTCTAGAAGATTCGCTAGTGTGTTGCGACAGCGTTGCGTCAAGCGACGCTGGTAGCACGTGTTGAGAGTCTTAGAAGTTTCTAGAACAGGCAGTATTATCGTATATAAGTGCGCTAGACAGTGAGAGAGACAGACGGAGTCAAAGCAATAGTGGAGACAAAGACGTAGCGGAGACGAAGCAGGCAGAGAGAAAGAAAGACAGCGATTACGGTCGGCGGGAACTGAGGATAGCAGACACAGAGATCGGAACTATAGTTTGCGGGGATGGACAATTAAGTCTAAGCGCGATAGAAAGTGAGTGAATTGTTGTGAACTATAGTGTGTGAAACTGTGAAAATTAAGTACATTACAAAGTTGTATTGAGGAGGAATAAACAAGTTTTATAAAGAAAGGACTTGTATCTTGTAATAATTAACAAGCAAACATACAGAGACGTAACAATATTTTATCTGTTATTTTCACTAACAAATCTCTGTATGGGTTTGATAGATTTGACCAATCTTGTAACCACCATAAAAATTAGGAAATAAATGTAAGTTATGCTTTTTTCATTCTAGAATGATTACAAATTATAACATGAAAACATAAATGTTTAGAATAAATAGCTTAAATCACATAACATTATACATTTATAAATATATTTATTAGATTTATCATATTGACCTTTCAGCCATGCCTGGCTAACATTACAGAAGTTACAATGACATGGCACACATGCTTTCATGCTACCGTATCAAATATTATAAAACTGATCTTTAGTTTTTACAAAGTGACCTGTCTTGGCTTTGTTTTAGTAGACTAGTATTTTGTAAAATACAGTCACATTTTTATTATTATACATTATATATGTATACAGATTATTACTATTTAGAAACAAGTTCTTTTTTTTCTTTAAACAATAGAACAGTAAGTAAAGAAGTAAAGACAAACAATTCTCTTCTAGTTTTGACTTTTGTACTCAGTTGCTGCTTGATGTAGGCTGCTTTTAAAATTTCGCACATGGAGGATATGAAAAAAATTTTTTTTGTTTAGTTATATATATATATATATATACAGTTG